TGGAGATTGGAATGTGCTCCCTAACTATAACACATCCTTCAGGAACATCTGGGCCATCACCAAACATGAACCATATATAGCACGAATAAATGCTACACTCCAGAAAAAAAAAAATACAGTATGAGATAAAGGAAAAGTTTAAAAAGGTTAGGCAGTGCTTACCACTGGTTATCGGCAATTTAGCCACAGAATATGGCGTCAAACCTTCCGTTTTATAGAATTCGACTTGGAAATCAATGGAAGCATTGTCATACTTCCCAGCGGCCTTATTAGCTTCTGCTTCTTCAAATACATCAAAACGCTTATAATGTCTTGATATTGCAAAACTAGCATTTTTCCTCCAAAGAAATCTGCAGGATGAAAGTTAAATCTAGAAAATGTAAGCATATAAGCTAGCTTATAGCTTATTCGATTAGTTTATAAGCTTCTTGTATTTAAATAAGCTTGGTTTGGTAGGACGGACTTTTTTATTTCCTTGGGTAGCTTTTCAAATAAGCTGATTGAAATTTATTTCACTTAGCAATTTTACCGCACACTTTAATCATATAAGCTAGATTTTAAGCCATAAGTCATAAACTATAAGCTATAAGCTTGAAATTCACTTATAAGCTATAAACTAGCTTATCAGCTAGGTTTACCAAACTTAGCCTATATGTTTAGGCCAATCAACTAATCGTGAGTCATGCCAAATCAATATTCATTTGTTTATTTATTTTTCTTGGAGACGGAAGCATGTCTTGTTGAGGATCTTTAGCCTTTCGAATCACATAAATCAATTACAATGAACCACAGCTTTTCTATGAAGCATATGTTACCTTTCTAGAATCTGGAATGGATCAACAAGAAGCTCAAGTTTTGCATCAACCCAGAGTGAGTAACGGGCATATGGGAAAAGTCGGTGCATTAATAGTTTTGGAATCTGCAGGTGCAATAGACAAACCTCAGGACTAATTTTAAGACATGTACAGCTATGCATCATCGTGCACAAGGCTGCATGGACTTGAATTAAACCAATAGCAATAACAGAATACTACACATCATATATTATTCACAATATATGATTTTTTTTAGACCCCAAAATACGTAACAAGCATAACATTACGTGAACTTAATCCCAAAGATCGAACGGAGACCAATTACCAGTCCTAGACCTACCTTCAAGAAAGCTCATAGCAAATTACTATTTTTTTTTATTTTTTTTTTTAAATATCCAACATGAGGTTCTCTTGGGCTTCATCTCTAGCCTATCCCAACTTGCTTGGGACAAAAAGGCTATGTTGTTGTTGTTGTTGTTGTTGTTGTTGTTGTTGTTTAATATCCAACATGCTTCTCCTAACCATCATAACCCAGCCCAACTACCATATTATACGAATAGAGATAATCATTCTAGATTAGAACTTGCTAATCAGCAGGATCCTATTCTGACTACTAGATAGCTTAGGGAGTATATATTACCTTTCCATTGCGTCTTGGATCCAAGTATGGTAGATTTCGAACAACAATGATTCTCCACAGACCAACTTTCTTGTCACTGCCAAGCTCGCTGGAGTTCTTCAAAAAAGCTTCCGTTACACCATCCACAAACATGTGAAAGCAGACATTTCTTTTGGCATATTCACTAATATTCTTTGGCTGCCTTATTAAATCAAAGGCCCCTGGTCACAAATGAATTTCCCTCAATTAGTACATCAATCATCAATATAGTTAATTAATTGGAATACCAATTATGCCCATACCAAATATTGCCGATGCAACCACCACGCCTCCACAAGCATCCATCTCAATAAGATCAGAGTCATCAATGTCAAAACCGGTCTGATGACCTGGTTTCACTCCTTTGACA